CTACTGTCTTCAATAAATACAGAGGATACCTTTGTTTCCAGCTTTCAACGTCGACTTAAATGGACCCTCTTTTCCGACAAGCGTACGTTATGCAGTGACCACAGCCCCATAGAGCGCAAACCCCGGGCCATTCATTGCGCAGCACGGCTCTTGGAACCTGGCCATCCGAGTGAACGCTATGCGAGCCACTCCAGCCAATCCGAAGCCGCGTGAGCGTCACGGGACGTTTGGAAGAGCCGCTGTCATGCGCGGGATATGGGGTCACATGACCGGTTTGCGACGGCTGGATTCGCTGGAATGGGTCGCAGCGTCCGTTGTGCCTCATCGTGAGGTAAAAGAGTGTACGGTCGCGGCCAAAGTTGATTGATGCGCCCATCTGCATGGCGGAGAAGGCCAATACGTCACGCGAGAGTCCCTTTCGAGCGCCGTCGCGAAGATCGATGCAGCCTGGCATGCGGTTCGGATTCGGGTCGAATTCGGCTCGTTTCTCTTAATGCGATGGGCTTCGACGATAAACAGCCGTGCTTTGTTCTCCGCCGAGAGCGCTGGCTGATCGACACAGCTATCCTCAAAGTTGCGATGAATATTATACGAAACGCGCTGCGTATTTTTTGTACTACAGTGTGTCCACCTTCTATATAAGAGTATTCTTTATCGCGATACTCGATTAAATTAAATCATAATTTGTGTCGTTTCAATAGGTAACGTCAAGAAGGCCGTCTACCCGCCTTTAATGCGTGTTTTGGGGACATTTTTTTTTTTACTTGGGTAACTCCCGCGTTGTTCTATTTGAATAAATTTGTTTCATATAAAAAAAAAAGAACTCATCATTTTTTAATATTTTATGCCCCACTTTTAGTTAATTTTTTTGTCTTTTTTTTCGATAAACTGCGGTGAAACAAATGGTTGCAGTTAAACATTCTCACAATACCCTGATGCATTTCATACTTTCATACTCTCATTCGAGGAAATAAAACTCGACAAAATTGGTTGCCTCATTTCATAGAGCCGCGCGATACAGATATCTCCATCACGAGCACTGTGTAAATCAAGCACATTATATTCATGCTTTGAACCAGTTCATATAATGCTGCGTTACCGATGCGTTTTTTTTTTTCTTCTCAAAACTTTCGAAATTTGCATTTCTTTATTGAACCAACTTCTCTTCTATTTACCTTCTTTCCCGTTATTAAAAAAAAATAATAATTTACTGTAAAATTTGTATTTTTAACAGTTATTTGCTGTTTTCTTAATAAAAAAATACTACTACATTATTTTCTGAGAGAAACCCGATTTTACGGTGTCTTAATTATTTTCGATGAAATACACAAAAAAAAGTAACGGATGATATGCTCGACGGTTACGAAACTTCAATATTCTCCGAAAAAAAAAAATGCACCAGGCGCCGGTAACTGACAAAGCCTTCTATACAGGGCGCTAAAGTTCATTCAAATTTTGCGTTTAATTAAATAGCGTGACCCCCGATAAAAGATTCACGATGTCATGCCTCTGGAATGAGCTGCACTGCGTTACAAACTGACGCAACAGGCAAGGCTACAAGCGAGTCGGTAGTAACTTGACAGCCGACGATTTCGATGAAAAAACTGCTGCGACATTGAACTGAAGAAAAAAAAGATGACATTATTGCAACGCTCAAGCGCACAGGCACAGATTTTTAATTTCAATGAGCACCAGGGCCTCATCTTCTGTTGTCTCAAAACACGCAAACCGGTTCGCAAGCTTTGTTATGTAAATATTTGCAACAATCGTTCCTCCATTTTTTCCATTGTCTCATAAATAAGAGAATGTCATAGTCTTTAATTTTTTTCTTTCTCATGAATGTGATATTTTTTTGTTGAAGTATGTCATGCAAAACGGTTGCGCTGGAATTTTTGTTTATTTTTACTTTCCTTAATTCCCTCAGCAGTTTGAACACATACCTTTATAGTTTCCTTGTTGTTTCAATTAAGTGTTTACTTCTCGAAGTGGAAAAAAAAATTATCGTATTCTAAAAACTAAGGGCGCGAAAATACAAAGTGATCTGCGTTATTCTTACTTTTTTAACCTTTACGGTTTTGTTGTTGTTGTTTTTTTGTTTTTGTTTTTTTAAATACGAATTTGCATAATTCTTTATATTAAGAAGCAGGAAAACACAGTTTGGGTTGGAAGCTCAGAAAACTCTTTCTTTCTGGCTGTGCGCTATTCAGCCGTTTGTTTAAGGTAGCAATATTTTTGGATGATTTCTTCTTTCTGTTCTCCCACAAAAGATACACGAAACACGTTACATTTTTATCATCATGCGCTGTAAATGTTTGTTTATACAACCACGCAAAAAAATTAATTTTTTTTTTTTTTTTTTTTTTTTTTTTTTAACGTAGGATTTTTACAAAGCCTTTCGTCAACTTTACAAGGCCCCGCGCGTCGCGGGGAATTCTGGGGCCTTTCCGATGTCCGCTCGGGTCCGCCTGTAGGCTGCGTACATCCTGTAAGTGGCTCAATTCTACCACTGCGAATCTAGAACCCCCCCCCCCCCCCCCCGCCCCCCCCCCCCCCCCTCAAAAAAAAAATACAGTGCAAACTAACCGCAAAGTCGATAGGTGGCCTACTTTGTTATCGTCCTGCTTACTTTTGCGTTCCGAAATTGCAAAATGCTCAACAGACATGAATTGCTCCCTCTATACATGGACACTCCTCTACGCGCCGTACATCGGAATGCCGTAGAGCCTCAAAAACACGATAGGAGGCAATGCGTACTTCCGGAATGGTCTATATCCGTCAAAATGTCCACTGAGACGGTCGTGGGTGAGCGTTTCACACACGCGCACACGCGCACGCTCAATACACAGGGGCCGACGCACACGCAGCCATACATAGGTGCATACAAGCGCACACACATACACACACACAAAAGACAGACTGACTCACACACACGTACGCACACACAGAGGCGCAAATACACGTCTGCTCGCGCGTGTTCATACGGACGAGCACACACAAGTCGTCCTCTAGCCAAGACGAGAGCAGTCTCCGGGTGTCGCAACAGCGGCCGTAATCTCGATCTAACTCGTATCTACGGCCGAACGGATGCGACGACAGTTTCGTCGCTGTCGCAGCTCAGACGAGCTCGTTCGGGGCTAAATCCGGGAAGGCGCAAATTTCCTGCTCGGTCTGAAGGCGCCGACACGACACGGGCGCGTGGACTAGTATAGTGGAGTTCCGTTCGGCCCGGTGATTCGTCTTCATTTGCAAACTGCCGGGGCTTCTCGCGAGCGTTTAAGCCTCGGCGGAACTCGGTCGCTGGGGCCTTCGTAACTCCGGCCGCCTATTGCGTGTGCGCTTCAGCCTGCTGGGTATTCGGCGCACTGCAGTCTACATCCGGTGCTGGTCGCGACGCTTGGACTGGGGCAGCGCGTGCCTCCGTGGCCGGCGCTTTAAACGGAAAGCCTCTTTGTCGAGTGAGCCACTTTAGGCGCGTGAATAACATATATACGGAATACACTCTATCCTTAGTCACTCGCTCAATTTAGGCTTGCCCAAGTTTCTTTCTCCTTTTTTCAAGTATAAAGAAGTTTCGGGGGACTGGTGGTCGCTTCGCAAATCTGTGTCAAGTATATTTGTTATCTATATTGTTGTTCGGAGAATGAGTTACACTTTAATCCTGCCACGAAGTTGTGTAGGCTTCATAGTGACTTGTTTCCTTGTTAGTCGCGTGTGTACCACGAGCCGCTAAACGTGGATTTAAGGAACTAAACTTCCTTCGGAATATTTGAATAAAATTTGAACCCTCGTTCAATACGACGCAGGCACGAAGCGGTGTGGTATTCCTTGGTGTAGTTTAGCTAAGGTTGCGTCTGTTACCGCTATTCAAAATAAGCGACATAGATATCGATGTTTTCTTAGCTACTCTTGGTTGAGGTAATTTTATCCTCATTTTGTTTAGTCGCCTCGAATAAGTTTCGTATTCGTTCCACATGAACAAGGAGAGCGTCGTCCTCGTGAACAGATGAACAGACAGAAATCTGCTCGCGACGGAAATAGGCAAATCTGCTCCGCGAACGTGGCCATTTATTGAGATGCCCGTCCTTATGATGCGCGATACGCCCAATTAATTTTAAACTCCGTACGAGGTGTTGCTTTTATATAACGAGACTCGTCTTTAACAATATCTGTTAAAAATACTACAGAACTGTAATGTCTCCTTCTATATGATCCACTTCCCTATCCCTACACCGCTCCTTGCGAATCTTGTATTGCTGAAGGCATTGCTGTGTAGGTCATGGAATGATAAACCATTCATGAGCTCTCTCGCTTTTGCCTTCACAACATCAAGGGACTCAAACCTCGTTCCTTTTAACCCATACTTGATCTTGGGAAGTAGGAGAAAAGTGGCCCACAATATGCGAAAAAAACAATAGCGATAGTTGTAGCACAGTCGTGCAAAACGGGAGGAAGGGGCCGTCCCGTACCTGAGAAGGAAGGTGCGACTTGTTTAGTTCATATAGCCGGTGTGGTTGGCGTCGTGGATGCCACCGACGATCGCCACGAGTGCTCGGTGATCCCTGAAGTAAGTGGGTAAGCGCGGTGGAAGTCTTCTAAAATCATTCAACATTAAGCGTAGCAACCGGATACTGCCAAAGTGGGGCTTCGCATAATGCGCGCTTCACATGCAGGCATTTTGTTCCTAGAGCGGCGCTCTGGCCAGCCGGAACGGCAGAGTGGCGCGATCCCAGAAGTTTGAAATTTTTCGCGCCGGCAGAGCGGCACTGCATCTGGGCTGGGCATTCACAGCGTGGCGGAAAACCACAGCACTGTCACCATGTCCGCCGCGAACACCGTGTCTTTTGCATGATATGTGAGCAGAGTAACCGCAACTTAAGAATCCCCACCCCCCCCCCCCCCCCCCCTCAAAAAAAAAAAAAAAAAAAAATCTGCGTTGGGCGGAGTTTTTTTTTTTTTTTTTGTGATTGACTTTGAGTATTTTTTTGCTTTGCTTGTTACAGAGCATGGTGCTCCGGGGCCCGGCTGGAAGCGGCCAGCCTGCCGAGCCGAGGGACCCCGGATGCAGATGACCTGCGCAGCCCCATGAGGCAGGACGGGATGGCCGTCAAGTGGGAGAAGCTCTCCCCCGCCGAGTTCCAGCAGCTGCAGGACTACGTGCAGTGTGAGTCTCCTCTCCCACTCGCCGTTCTCACGCCGCCATGCATGCGTACAATCTCGCGCGGTGCCTCTATGCTGTTCTTCCGGAAGGGCTCAGAAACGTTCGGGTGCGCTAACAAGAAACCCAGAAAGATAAATGGGAGCATGCACCCTATAATCAGTGACAGGTGAGGAACCCAGTAGAAGCTCCGCCTCCAGCACGTGCTCGTTGCCTTCCACCGTGCTTCGGCTGCCCGTGCGACGAAGTATTATCAAATGGCAGGAAACTCACACTCGAGACCGAGCATCTATCGTATTTGCAACCTGTCACCGACTATATAGAGGCCATACTGTACAGGCACGTAGCCAGGGGGGGCGCCCATGCCCCTCCCCCCCCCCCCCCCCCCCCCGAAATCTTTCATTTTGCTGGGGCCTCCTCACCCTCTCACACAGCATTTTGTCATGGACAGGCGTTCCCGCCCCCCCCCCCTTCTCCTCCCCCCCCCCCTTCTCCTCCCCTCCCCCCCCCCCCCCCCCCGAATCAAAGTCCCTGGCTACTTGCAAGATATCGTACATCTTCTACGAGTTCCGTTCACTGCTAACGAAGACGTGCAAATGCTTAAAGTTACGCCTTCAAAAGCACACCGTGGCATGAATGGGTCGTGGAGGTACTCGCACTGCCCGCGATTGTTAGCGAACGAGCCAAAACAAAGACTTCATGGTGTATAAATATCTTTTTACGAAGTAGACGCGCAATTCATGTAGCACCGTCGATCTAATAACGACGTTCGTGACCAAAACCGTCGCTACGGTCGCAATTCGCAATTGTCTAAACGCTCACTGTGACGTCATTATCTGGATTAATTTTTCTTTCGTCGACGGAAATCAGCGCAATGTCAGAGTGCCAACTCTGGATATGTTGGTTTCAGAATTTGATGTCTCTAGCTTCCATTTTTATCCTTACACATCTCGACGAACTGGTAGTTTGCAACTGATGATAAGCAGTCAAAGTTTACAACTCGTGACGTCACGTCGAGAAAAATTCTGGCCGTGACGTCAGGAACGGCAACCACAGCATCTTGGCGCTAATAATGATCCAGTCACGTGAATCGGGGTTGGGACATTTTGATTAAAATTATAAAACTAAAAGTTAGAATTTAAAAAAAAAAACGCATCGTTATCCATAACATAAGGCATGCCAACAAACATTCTGTTGTACAAGATATAGCTTTATTTAAGATAATATATTGAATAACTACTTCATAAAGTATTTAAGGGAAATTTAAGTTACTTTCACTGGAAGTATCTTGAGAAGAGAAGTACAAACATTTTAAAAGTACTCCAATTGCTTTCTACGATAATTTACCAGCCGACAAGCACGTGACAAGCTATATACGTGATAAATTAGGAAAGAGAGCAGTCTTCTTTCAGCCGCTTCACTGAAAAGAGCATCCTGCGGTGATATTTACGATGCGCGCCCTAATCATCTAGACACAAACTCACTGCAAACCGCCGTAATCGCCTCAAGTAGAGTCAGTTTGAAAGGAATTATGACTAAGGCGAGGAAATGGGAGAATACTGGCACAGAAAGAAATCTTATACCGCACGGTACCTGCTGCTCTTTAGTTTCTTGACGGGCGCACCTTTCTCCCCCCCCCCCCCCCCCCTCCCCCCCTCCCCCCCCCCCCTCTCTTTTCGTTTCGAAGGTCAGTTTGTAGAGATATTTCGTAATTGAAGAGGCGTGGCTGTCTTTATCGAGATCATCCATATCTTTATTTTTTCACAATCTAAATCTAGAAATTCGTTTAAAAAGAGCTCGTTGTCGGTTGGAGTTACCCTTTCGCCTTTTGTTGGAATTTAGGGCGTTCATCCCGCTCGTGGCTTGTTTCCTGTTCAGGTGTTGCAATCTGTCGCATTACGAAAGGACACTGCAATGTTCCATCAGTTTTTTTTTGTTTTTTTTTTGTCTTGTCCTCGGGTTATCACAGTTGACCTCAAAGTAACGTTCTATATAGAGGTACCTACCAGAATGACGAAACGAACGAGATCGAGCTCTGCCGGCAACAGGAAGAAACAAAACATGAAGATCAGAAAGCATAAGGACGCTTCTGGCGCGCTCCCTTTATTTCCCTCCGTTTGTTATCAAAGTTCGTGCACAGAGGCAGTTCATCGATATTGTAACGAGATATGTTCATTGTGTGTTCCCTGTGGGACACAGGAGCTTTCATCCGGTTCGTGTTCCAGTAGAAAGAGTAAAATAGAAGGCACGCTGGGGAAATGAGGACACCCAGAAAAGCTAGTCTCGTTTCTTCTAGTCTCGGTATACATCGAGATTATGTTTCAGTTCTGGTTACGATGAGAATCTCTTACCCCGGAAATTACTTCGGTCACAAATTCCTTCATCAAATGGGAAATCTATATGAGATTAATATTATTATTATTATTTATTGATACTACTCTCTCCTCTTTCAAGAAACGTGGTAGGAGTGGTTGACAACATATGGAACACAAAAACAATAATAAAAAAAACAGCAGGTAACAAGCACAAGGATATGCGTTCTAGCTGATCCAAAAACACACGAAGAGCTAAACATGTAAAAAAAAACAGCGTTATACGAAGACTATCTTCATCGAAAAAAATTAATAAAGGAGCATCAGGTACAAGAATCACAAAAATCGCGGAGTTTATTAAAGAAGGACGACTGAGGTGATGCTGTTATTATATCGCTTGGCACGGAGTTCCAGTCGTGAACAGCCCTTCGAAAAAAAAGAATACTTAAATACATTAATCCGACAGTTGAATTCTTTGAGTGTTTTGCAATGATAACTTCGCATGGGATAATTTTGAGGTGCGGGTGAAATATATTTAGAGATGTCGATTTTGAACCGGTTCTTTAATAAATCAAATAGGAACTTTATTCTCGTAAACATTCGTCTATATGCTTTAGTAAGTTCACCCCAGAAAGGGGTTACAGTTCAGAGACGGGATATTTTCGCTGGAATTTATTATGAATGAAGCGTAAACTTTTTATTTGAACATTTTCAATGACGTTTATGTTGGTACTTGTAAACGGATCCCAAAGCACCGAAGCGTATTCTAGGATGGGTAATATAAAAGTTTTATGGGCTGTCAATTTAACATCGGAAGAGGCATGTTTTGAATTTCGTCTTATTAAGTACAATAACTTGGATAGTGCTTTGTGCGCAGTAGACTTGATATGAGTGTTCCAGCGTAGGTCATTTGACATAATGACACCCAAGTATTTATAAGAAGTAACGTCGGCTAGTGAAGTACTATTAATGGAATAATCTAAAAAAAGATGGCTTAATTTACGAGTTATGTGTATTCGAACACACTTCTTGACATTCAGTCAGTTGAAGATATATATCAGGGGTGGCCAGAGTGACATGGGGTGAGAGCCGCAGACAAAACTACAAAAGTTCAGAGAGCCGCAGGGGTAAAAAAAACGGGGGGGGGGGGGGGGGGGGTAGAGGGATTCCTTTAACAAGAAACAATATGTAGGGTTGTCCTTTCCAAATTAGACAAGTGTAATTGTCGACAAAAAAAAAAAAAAAAACACCGGGCAGAAAAATGTTTTTTCAACTGCTAAGCAAAAATGAATGCATAGTTCGCTAGCCAGCAACGTTATGCATATACGGTTTGAAGTTCTTCGAACGGTTCGAACGGAACAGGGTCACTGGGCACATCTATGTGTCGAAATGAGGTTCAGCTGTATGTGTGCAGTGTAGTACAAGGCTGCTAAGACTATGGACTTTTAATTCTAAAACTATCGTCGTCTTGAGGATACAGGAGGAGAAGGGGGGCACGCAGAGCAGATCGAGTGCCACGAGCCAAATTTGAACTCCCGAAGAGCGCGAGCCGTGGTTTGGCCACCCCTGCTATAGATCGAGCGCAAGGTGCTCTCATTCAGACGTATTGTGAAAATACTGAGATTTCCGAAAAAGAGAAAAGAAGGGGGGGGGGGGGGGGTTCTACGTTGCAGTGCAGTTAAGGTATGAGGGACGTCCCAAGGACTCCTTGGGGGAAGGACAATTATTTTTTGCGCTCCGGATGTCAAGACGAAACCTCTAGGCAACGGAGGCGGTTGCGTCATAAAATATATATATAAACCCAGTACCTAAAAAAAAAAAAAAAAATTTTAAATTAAAAAAAAACCTTTTTTTTTTTTTTTTTTTTTAAAGATTTGTTTTAAGAGTTGCGTTTGATCGATCCATCGGTCCTCGCAACGGGTTTTTTTCTCGCCTGACAACGAGCGGTGACTGAGGAATGCTCTGTGGTGTTTTCGGGAGTTTACTAGGTTTCACCTCCGCACTTCTTATTTTGTTCGCGGACGACGCAATATCTGGACAGCGAACAGCTTACGCAATCCCGCCAGAGGACCGGTAAGGAAGAGAGCACGAAGGAAGCGAGAGACCGCGCCCCATGGAGGCTTGGAATGGGAAGGAGGGGAATTCCAATTTCGAAGAAGATTTCGCCTGGGAATTGGAAGGTTGGCGCCTCGCTCCGTCAAGGCATCCGTGCGACGCCTAGGAAGGACGGTTGGTGAGCGAGACTTAAAGCTCGTTCTCTTTGCATACTCCGTGGATACAGGTCGTTGTACCTTTTCATCTCCGGTATTTTTCTTTTTTTTTTCCTTCTAGTAATTGGTTTTTTCTAACGACGAGATTCACCCTGAGAATAATGCGGAGTGCAAGTTCCTCCGCTTCTTGCACAGGGGTTGCAATAATGTCAGAACACTGAGCTCTTATTGGCTGATTGAAAAAAAATAATGGGTAGATCTCAAGGCACCCAACATTGAGGTGTACCCACTATCCTTTCAATCAAATCCAATCAGAGATCGGCGTCGTCCTGACGTTACCGCAACTCCTGAGCGAGAAGCGGACGACTCGCTCCCCGCATACATATGCGCTGATTTGCAAACTCACATTTGGGGGTAATAATCTTTCTTACACCCGCAGTCAATTGAATGTCATGATGTGTATATTACAGGGACCGGCAGTAAT